TTTGGAGAGTAAGTTTATCATAATTCTAAATCATTAGAGCTTACTTCATGTGCAGTTCAGGTCTCCAACCCTTGTGGTACTACATGTTGCTTCATTTAAATAATATATTAGAAATAAATAATGATAGTACAGTCATTGTAAAGATGAACAAACAGAATTTGAGTAATCTTAATTCTATTATTGTGTGTGGCCACTTGGGGTTTTTTGTCCGTGTCTAATAACTGTTTAACAACAACAACAAGGCAATATTATTTATTATTGATCTTTTGATAATTAAAGAACTACCGCAGGGCCGGCTCCGTGGAGTAGCGGTTAAGTGCACGCGCTCCGCTGCTGGCGGCCCCGGGTTTGGATCCCGGGCACACACTGATGCACTGCTTGTCAGGCCATGCTGTGGCGGTGTCCCATATAAAGTGGAGGAAGATTGGCAAGGATGTTAGCTCAGGGCCACTCTTCCCAGCAAAAAAAGAGGAGGGTTGGCATGGATGTTAGCTCAGGGCTGATCTTCCTCACAAAAATAAGAGTTACTGCCCATGGAAAGGCAGAGAAATATTGTGACTAAGGGTAGACTCTCTGGAGCCAGATTGCCTGGGTTTGATCTTAACTTTATCACTAGCTAGTTGTGTGATCATAGGCAAGTTACTTAAACCCTCTCAGTCTCAGTTTCCTTATATTCAAAATGTGGGTAATAATAAAATGTGGATAACAAAAATACTTGAGAGGATTTTTTTAAGGATTTAATGAATTAGCACACATATAACACTTATAATTGCACCTGGCACATAGTAGGAGCTTGATAAAGTTTAGCTATTATTATTATTAATTCCCAATTGGTTAAGTGGTACAGTAAGAAAAAAATCTTTATAATAATATTTTGATGAAACAAAAGTATCTTTAATGTAAAATTAGCACATTATTGTATTACAAAATGAAAGATTTAATACTTAGAATCAATACATAAAATGAAGCCTTGAAGAAAATATACTTGGAACCAAAATTTATTCTTGGAAAGTGGCTTAATATAGTATTCTGAAATCATGATCCAGGTATTACATAAGATATCATAAGCATAGATCAAAAAATTTGTGGGGTTGGAAGATTAGAGAGACAAGAGACTGAAGGAATTAATATTTATCTTAGATTAACAAACAACAAGAAGAAAACAAAAAATTATTTTAAGCAATAAAATAATGAGGAAAATTTATTAAGAGAGAAGGAACAAAGATCAAAAAGTTTGGGCCGGCCCCGTGGCTTAGCGGTTAAGTACGCGTGCTCCACTGCTGGCGTCCCAGGTTCGGATCCCGGGCGCGCACTGACGCATTGCTTCTCCGGCCATGCTGAGGCCGCGTCCACATACAAAATTATAAAAAACAAAAAAAGATCGAAAAGTTTAAGATCGCTGATTGGTTTTTCAATCTTTCTTCCCTCTCTCCTAATGTTTAAGATGAATGCAATGATTTCCCATAGAACCTTCTGTGATGATAGAAATATTCTGTATCTTTGCTGTTCAATATGGTAGCTAATAAGAGTGAGAGAGTTTAAGTAACTTGCTGGCTGGTGATAAAGATTCAAAGGCAGGTAATCTGGCTCCAGAAAGTGCACTCTTAATCACCATGCTTCTCTGCCTTTCCACAGGTGGTAATTCTTTAATTATCAAAAGATCCATAGTAAATAACATTGTCTTGTTGTTGCTATTTATCAGTTTCATAATTTTTTTTTTTATTTGGACCTTACAACATCCTGTATCATTGTATTACAAAACAGCAAGTGAGGCTGAGGAGAATAAGAGGTGGTCAAGGATTTGTAATTAGCAGCAAACCAAACAAGAATTTGTTTTTTTTTGTTTTTTGTTTTTTTTAAATAATTTTATTTATTTATTTTTTCCCCCAAAGCCCCAGTAGATAGTTGTATATCATAGCTGCACATCCTTCTAGTTGCTGTATGTGGGACGCGGCCTCAGCATGGCCAGAGAAGCGGTGTGTCGGTGCGCGCCCGGGATCCGAACCCGGGCTGCCAGCAGCAGAGCGCGCACACTTAACCACTAAACCACGGGGCCAGCCCAGCCAAACAAGAATTTGAAAGCAAGTCTTCTGCCCTGGGAAGCTCAATGTAATTCACTTCTATCTTACTGTTACCAAATTCACCTCACTCCAGTGGAACTCCAACTCACGTTTGGAGGAGCTCCAAGGAGGGACCCATGGGTGGGCTTCATACCCACAACCTGTTCCCTCCCTGGAGGGTTCTTTTCTGTTTGGCGTCACGGATTTGAAACGAAACCTAAGCAGAGCATTTAACAGCACAAGCTTTTATTCAACGGCCAAAGAATGGAGAAGTGGGTACTAGGTTCACAAAATCAACTTAGCTCTTGGGGCAAGTAAGCAGCTGTTATAAGGGGTTGAGATAACCAAGGCGAGAAATAGTCATCGTACTGGGGGAACAGGGCAGGCTTTCCAAGGGAACAAGGGTGCCACCTCTTTTCTTTTCTTATTTAGTCATACCCTGCCGTTGCCATGGCAATTGTAAACTGTCCTGGCGCTGGTGGGTGTGTTATATAGCATGGTAATGTATTACAATGAGCGTATAATGAGCTGCAGGGTCTATGTCAGATCAAGTAAGACTGCCATGTTGCCTTCACCTGGTTTTAACTGGTTTTGACTATACCTCTCAGCTGTCGCCTCCTTCCTCTCTTTGTGGTTTCCTGTAAGCTAAAGAGAATGTGTTAGGCTTGCTACCAGCAGGCCTGTGGTTAATGTCTTAACAGGCCAGGGGTCAGGCTAACAATACTGCTTCTTTAGTTTGCTCTTGTGGTCTGCATAGGAACCACTGTGTCTACATTTAATAAAGAAAATTTATTTTGGAAATGAATTTTATATAACATTAAATTTATTAAAGTATATATTACCACCAATGAAGACTTTTTGTTGTCCCAAATTTTAAACATTCCCTGAAATCACAGCAGCATACCAAGGTAAGAGTTTTCATTGGCAAATGGACCTGGTACTGTTGCCATTATCAGGGAAAACAAATGTTATCAAATTTTCATCTTTGAACAGTATCAATGCCACAGAATTGTGAGCAAGATAGTGCTCTGAAAAATACATGTGTATTGAGCCTAACATTTAGTCTCTGACAGGGCCAGCCCCGTGGCTTAGCAGTCAAGTGCGCACACTCCACTGCTGTCGGCCTGGGGTTGGATCCAGGGCGCGCACCAACACACCGCTTCTCCGGCCATGCTGAGGCCACGCCCCACATACAGCAACTAGAAGGATGTGCAGCTATGACATACAACTATCTACTGGGGCTTTGGGGGAAAAAAAATAAATAAATAAAATTATATTATAAAGTCTCTGATGGACCTTTAAATTTTTTCAATAGAGCTTTTCTGTATTAACTCAGTTATTAAAATGTTGGCATTACATTTTGTTATTTCATATATTTCCAAGTAATAATTGAGGACTTAAAAAACAAAAATCTTGGTGAAGTTAGGAACGTCCATGAAATACAGCGTTATGTATAAAAAATTACACAGGCCTCTCAATCTATGAACATGCTTTTGTCTTAGATGATTTGTGTCTGTCACTAAATAAACCTGTGTCTTTACCATACCCCAGAAGAAGTAAAGTGCGCACAATCTGTTAAAACAAAACAAAACGAAATCTTATCTGTGTTTCCAGAGGTTGACCATATAGTGTTTCACCAACCTCTGTTAAACCCACCAGCATCCGTTGTAATCCCATTAACAACCGCTAGGGTGAGACGAAAGAGGCCTCTCTTCCGTCTTAACGTGGAATCTTGGAAATGGCACAGCACCATGACGTGCGCCGAAGACGTAGGTGTAGACGATGAACAAAAGAGAAGCCCCACGGTGGATGTGGCGTCTCGGTGCACGGCCGCCCCGGGGCGCGCGGCAGCAGTCTGCACCTTCGCTCCGCTCTCCGCAGCGGGGCCGGCCCCGGGTGGGCGAAGCGATTGAGCAGACTGTGGAGTGGAGCCTCCATCAACCGTTGAGGACCAGGAGATGGTGGAAGGCGGTGGAGAGGCTGGGTAGAGGCTGGGGGAGGGCAACCGAAAGAGGCTGCGGAGGAGGAAGACGGCAGCGCCGACGGACACCCCGAGGGGAGGCTTCAGCCCTTCCAGCAGGCGGGAGCCCAGCTCCAGGGGAGCCCGCAGCTTCCTCCATCTTGGTTGATGGAGGCGGGCAGCGGCGTTTGGGTCTCTCCACCGTCGCGCCTGTCCCCCAGGGCCCCTGGGATGCAGATGTTGGAGGCAGGGGCTGTTCCCTCCGCCGAATGGCGGAGGCCAGTTGGGGCTTCCCGGGGACAAGTTTGCCAGCCCCACGGGGTTTGGTTTTGAATTGGTCCCAAGTTCCCACGGCAGTCCCGACAAAATGGAGGACGTCGTCTCCTCCAGCAGCCATGACGGGAGGTGGGGGGACAATTCCCCACGGGGGTGAGGCGAGGGTGGAAGTGCTTCCACTCTCCTCCGAACGTTCGGGAATCCACTTCACCTGTTGACCCAACCTCCCACTTTGCCTCGCTCCAGCCCCTGTCCGGGCTCGCCCCTCATGGGGGGGCTTCAAGGAGCTGGACAGGGAGGGCGTTGGGGACATCGAGGCCGCGTCTCTCCTCGGGCAGGGTCGTTGGGAGCCGCTGCAGCGGCCTGGGCGCCCA